TCTTATCCTTTTCCACACTTATTTAGTGTAAATCTTGCTATACTTACTGTTCAGTAAGAAAACCATAGCAAGACAGGCACATGCTCTTTTTAATCCTAGTGCTCTGGAGGCAGAGGCAGGTGGATCTCTTCTGAGTTCAAAGCCAGCCTTTGGTCTACAGAATGAGTTCTAGGACAGTCATGGCTACAATATCCTGTCTCCAAATAAACAACACCAGTATCAGAGTCTCAGATGGTCTTATACGCACAAGGCACATAGTACACACACACACACACACACACACACACACACACACACACAGCTAAACACTCCTGTACATAAACGAAAATCAAATGTTAAAAAAATACAAGATGTCATGTTTTGCTTTAGGAATCATGAATTATGGTATAAACCTTCAGTTTGCTGGCTGGCTGAAATAATTCCCATAGATAAGTACATTGTTCTGTGATTCTAGGCAAGTTCATTCATTGCTGCTTTAGAGAATTTCTTTTCTTTTTTTTGGTTTTTCAAGACAGAATTTCTCTGTAGCTTTGGAGCCTGTCCTGGAACTAGCTCTTGTAGACCAGACTGGCCTCGAACTCTCGAACTCACAAAGATCTGCTTGCCTCTGCCTCCCGAGTGCTGGGATTAAAGGCATGCGCCACCACTGCTCGGCTTGAAGATTTTCTTGATCCACAACTAAGTACTATTAAATTTTTTTCCTCTTCCTTACCCTCTTTATCTCCTTTCTCCCCTTATCTTTCTGTTTAAAAAATGTATTTTGTTTATGTGTATGTGCCTGCACAAATTTATGTACACCACTTGCATGAAGTGTGCAAGAAGGCGAAAGGGCATTAGATCCCCTAGAACTGAGTTACAGGCGATTTGTAGTCTACTTGATGAGGGTGCTGAGGCCAGAAACCACAGCCTGGGCAAGAGCAGTGACTGCTTTCAAACAAAAAACCAAACAACCCATGTACTTCCGTGCACCGTGTGCGTCCTTGGTACCTACAGAGGACAGAGAAGAGTGTATGATCCTCTGGCACTGTAGTTCCAGGGGATTGGGAGCCACCGTGTGGGTGCTGGGCTGGGACCTGGTCCTCTGGAGGAACAGCTAGTGCTATTAACCACTGAACCATCTTTCCATGCCATCCCTCTCTTAAAAAAATACGTTTATTTTTATTTTATTAATGTGTGTGTATACATGCCATGGCATAAGTGTGGCAATCAGGATAATAAGGGCTAATTGGTTTTCTTGTTCTACCATGTGGGACCCAGGAATCAAACCAAAGCCTTCAGGCCTGGCAGCAAGTATACTTACCGGCTGAGACACACTGTCGACCCTGCCTCCCTGTTCTGTGTCTGGGATTACACCTAGGACCTTGCATGCTAATCAAGGTTCTTCACCCAACCCCAGGCCTGCATCTCTCTCAAAGTTGGTTGTTGCTGTTGGCCAGGTCTGATACAACCATTAGATCTTTGTCTCGCCCTATGCAATAGGGCGATGACCTCATGGACTGCATTCTAGTTGTTGGGGCACCACCAGGTTGACTGGTCCACCTGCAAAATCTTGAGGCTAAGCTTCCAGGTTAGTTCTGACACAAACTTGCTCCTTAATTGATTTTTCTTCTGGGGCTTTTTTTTTTTTTTTTTTTTCTATCTAAAGATGTCACCAGGTTATTATTTCTGTTTATCAAAGTGGTTCTCTGACATGCAAGAAATTTGTTGTCTGTATTAGAATGTTACAGGCTGTGGATGATGTCATTTCTATAAGAGGAAGCTGGGGTACAGTTGATTCTACTCAACTGGTATTTGGAAAGCAGCTGGTTGTATATGCCCTTTTTTTTTTTTTATTAAGAAAAGAAGAAAAAAACATAAACAAAAAACAAGTTTCCACCTCCTCCCAGCCTCCCATTTCCCTCCCCCTCCTCCCACCCTTCTCCCCCTCCTCCCACCCTTCTACCCCTCCCCCCACTCCTCTCCCCCTCCCTCTCCAGTCCACAGAGCAGTCCAGGTTCCCTGCCCTGTGGTAAGTCCTAGGTCCTCCCCCCTCCGTCCATATCTAGGAAGGTGAACATCCAAACTGGCTAGGCTTCCACAAAGCCAGCACATTAAGTAGGATCAAAACCCCGTGCCATTGTCCTTGGCGTCTCATCAGCCCTCATTGTTCGCCATGTTCAGAGAGTCCGGTTTTATCCCATGCTTTTTCGGTCACAGTCCAGCTGGCCTTGGTGAGCTCCCAGTAGATCAGCTCCACTGTCTCAGTGGGTGGGTGCACGCCTCGTGGTCCCGACTTCTTTGCTCATGTTCTCCCTCCTTCTGCTCCTCATTGGGACCTTGGGAGCTCAGTCCAGTGCTCCAGTGTGGGTCTCTGTCTCTGTCTCCATCCATCACCAGATGAAGGTTCTATGATGATATGCAAGATATTCGTCAGTATTGCTCTCGGATAGGGTCATTTCAGGTTCCCAATCCTCAGCTGCCCAAGGAACTAACTGGGAACCTCATGTTGGGCACTTGGGAGCCCCTCTAGGGTCAAATCTCTTGCTCACCCTAAAGTGGTTCCCTTAACTAAGAATTGTGGTTCCGTGCTCCCCTATCCACCTTTCCTTTATCCCAATTCTCCTGATTCCCCAAGTCCCCCCTCCTTCCCTTCTACCTTTTCTCTCCCCATCTCCCCTCTTCTGGGGCTTTTAATTTTTCCCTACTTCCTTTCCTTTCTGCCCTTTACTCTTGGTCAAATGGCAAGATATTTTTTTCTTTTTTTCTGATGTTGTTGTTTCGAGACAGGGTCTCTCTACAGAGTCCTGTTCTTGAACTGTAGACAAAGCTGGTCTTTTTTTTTTTTAAAGCTTTATACTCTTTTAAATTTATTTATTATGTATACAGTGTTCTATCTGCATGGCAGAAGAGGGAACCTGATCGAATTACAGATGGTTGTGAGACACCATGTGGTTGCTGGGACTTGAACTCAGGACCCCTGCAAGAGCAGCCCGTGCTCTTAACCTCTGAGCCATCTCTCCAGCCCCACAAAGCTGGTCTTGAACTCAGCGATCCACCTACCTCTGCCTCCTGAGTGCTGTAATTAAAGGCGTGTGCCACCACTCCTGACGGCTTTACCTGGTTTTTGTTTCATCCATCTATCTATCTATCTATCTATCTATCTATCTATCTATCTATCTATCTATCTATCTATCTATCTATCGTTTTCTGAGACAGGATTTCGCTGTAGCTTTGGAGCCTGTCCTGGAACTAGCACTTGTAGCCCAGGCTGGCCTCGAACTTAAATAGAAATCCGCCTGCGGGGCTGGAGAGATGGCTCAGAGGTTAAGAGCACTGGCTGCTCTTCCAGAGGTCCTGAGTTCAATTCCCAGCAACCACATGGTGGCTCACAACCATCTGTACTGAGATCTGGCGCCCTCCTCTGGCATGCGGGCATACATCGAGGCAGAATGTTGTATACATATAAATAAATCTTAAAAAACAAAATTATAAAAAAAAAAAAAAGAAATCCGCCTGCTCCTGCTTCCCGAGTGCTGGGATTAAGGGCGTGCGCCACCACTGCCTGGTTTGCTGTTCTTTTTTAAATGTGTGTTTTGCCTGCCACTTATGTGTACCACTTGCATGCAGTGCCTGTGCATTCCAGAAGAGGGCGTTGTATCCTATGTAACTGGAGTTATACAGTGTGAGATCCTTTGGAAGAACAGTTAGTGCTTTTAACTACGGAGGCATCTCTTCAGCTCTAAGGAAGGGCCACTGTGATGACTTACAAGATGGAAAAGACATTTGCCGTTAAGCCAGATGTCTTGAGTCTGATCTCCAGGACCTGCCTGGCTGAAGGAAGAGCTGACTCCTGGTGAAAGTCACCCTTTGCCTGCTTCATGCCTGCTGTGGTGGAAGCACACACACTCAGTTTGTACACACACACAAGATATTCTTAAAAACCTTTTCTGTGGGCTGGGGAGGTGGCGCAGGGGTTAAGAGCACTTGCTGTTTTTGCAGAGGGACCCAAGTTCAATTCCCAGCACCCACATGATAGCTCACAACCATCTGTAACTCTAGTGCCAGGGGTTTTGACACCCTCTTCTGGAAGGCACACATGTAGTATGCAGACAACAAAACCATACGTGTGAGTTAAAATAAACATTTTAAAAAAAGCTTATTGCCTTTTTAACGAAACCAAGGTAGTTGTCTTGAGGAGTGTGCAATATTCTGGGTTTTCAAAATGTTAAAAAACCAAGAAACTGCGGGATGGTGGTGGCGCATGCCTTTAATCCCAGCACTTGGGAGGGAGGCAGAAGCAGGTGTATCTCTGCGAAGCCTGGTCTACAAAGCGAGTGCCAGGACAGCTAGGGATGCACAGAGAAACCGTGTCTCGAAAAGTGGCAAGAACATTTTTCTTAAGTTCAATTCTTCATTATCATTTTTATTTCCTGACCCAGTGTTCTGGGCAGAATAGTGATGCTTTTATTTCTTACTAAACGGGATTACTGTTTTTAGAGTAAGCATTTTGTGTGATACTTTCAGCCTGGCTATTCTCTGTTTTTTTTTAAACAACTAGATTAGATTATCCTTTCCTTTCCTCTCTTCTTGAGCCATGGCGATGGCCACCTCAATTCTCACTTAGGCCTGAGCTTTCCGGCTCGCCCGCTAGAGGCCACTAGTTTTCTCCGCACGTCTCTGCTGCCGCTCTATCCTGGACCTCGCCGCTAGTTACCGGCCGTTGTCTCGCTGGTGCCGACGCCGTCCAAGGAGCCGCTCTAGGCTCCGCGAAGGTCGTCCGCATCGCGTGGGGAAAGTGTGGACGACGCAGTCGACTCGCCGGCCCCCGGGGCGGTTAGCGCTTCCGGGGTCGAAGGGTGCGCGGGGTTGAAAGCGGCCCGCTCCGCCCCGTCCCCCTCCCAGACCAGCAGAGGCAGCAGCCGGAGCAGCCGCAGCCTGCGCCCTCTCCCGCCCGCCCGCCCTCCGCCCGCCCGCCCGCCCTCCGCCGCCCTCCACCCGCCCCGGGGTCTCTTTCCCCTTCCTCCTCCTCCACCCCCCTCCTCCGCCCGCCAGCGGGGCCCCCCTCGCCTTCCCGCCCGCCCCTATTGTTCCGCCCCCGGCCTCCCGCCCTTCCCCTTCCCGCCCGCTCCCCTTTTCCCCTCAGTCGACTCGCGCCTCCAGGTAAGCTTAAAAATTTCTCCTCCGCCCCCTGCAGTAGCTTCTGTTTCCACTCGTGTCATCTTTCTTGGAGGACTCCGTTCGTAGTCTGGAGCCTCGGCCTCTCGTAGTCCCGCATGAGCGTCCACTACTCTCTTCCTGGCCGTCCATTCACGCGAGGCCCTGGCTCTGGCGCGGCCTAGTAGGCCTCGCGCAAAGCCTGCTCCCCCCTCCCCCCGCCTCTTCCCGGTGGCGGCTGCGCAGGAGTCAGGGAGGGCGCGCGCGGCAGGGGGGGCGGCGGTGGATTTGTTGGTTGAGGGGGGTGGGGGAGGCGATGGCCGGCTCGCTGGCCGGGCGGGTGAGCGCGGCTCCCCGCGGGGGTCAGGCGCTGGCGCAGCCTCACGAGGAGGCGCTACTTGCCCGGCCCCTCCCCCTGGGTCGCAGCGCCCCCCCCTGACCGAACCGTTTATTTCCTCCCCCCTCTAGTCAAGGGAAGGGGGGAGCTTATTTTTTCTTAAGTGGAAAATGCTTGGATGACCGGGGCCGGGGGGAGGGCAGAGGGGGGCTGCCGAGTTAAAGGGTAGGCGGACTCCCAGTTACCGAGTTACTCTGACGTTCTCTCGGGTAACGAATTTTGAAATTATAAAATGCCTGCCGCTATAAACCAGACCGAGCTATTTATAGAGGGGTATTGACTGCGGGATTAACAGCTGGATTCCCGGGATGGGGTACACTTAGGTTGACCTACTCAGGAGAGGAAGAGACAGGTTTCTCAGATTAGAGGGCTTGGAGTTTAAAAAAAAAAACACATCTTCGTGTTTTACTTACATGGTTTTGGAGATAAATTTTTGGTGTTCTTATCTCTTTGAACTTGTATTACTGTATTTTTAAAATGATTAATCATTTGAGTAGGCATACAGAATTAAAGCTGTCAGGTTTATACCTTGTATTTGGGGGGAGAAAAATGAGTCTTACAGACCTAATCAATAAGCATTGTTTTTCCATGAGATGTTGACTTGAGGTCTTTGACAGCAAGTAACTTTTCTGGAAGTAGGGGCCTGCTGTGCTTTGGAATGCATTTATATAATTACTTATCCTGAAGTAATCAGAAGACCTTTACCATATACAGAGTGGTGTAGCAGCCACCTTTTTAAGTGCTTTAAAATGTTTAAGGCTTGGATTTGGGGTGCAGAGGCAGATTGGTCTTCAAGTTTGGAAGCCAGCCTGGTGTTACTAGCCTGTTCCATTCTGTCCTGAGCTACATAGACTCTGTCTCAAAAACAACTCAAGGATGTGGGGATCTCAAATACACAGCACAGTGGAAGATGTGTTTGAAGGGACAGAGTTAAGAGATGTCATTGATACTGATTTGAAGATGGTGTTTGGAAGGGACAGAGTTAAGAGAAGTCACTGATACTGATTTGAAGGGATGGATACTTGACATGCTTTTGAAATTTCACTGTCCTTTCGAAATATCAGTGTTTGGTTATTAAAGGCAAAAACATCAAAATTCCAATTGTCCTGTCTCTACAAGCAGAGTTGTTTGAGAAGATGAGTACATGCTGCATCCTGGGAATCTGTCACCTACTGAGGCTTTAAAGCAATGTGAAGTCAAACTTTACCACTGACAGTTTCGTTTTTATTGTTGTATTTGAGTTAAAAGATTTTAGAAGTGTGTGGTAGTCAAAGTTAACATTCAAGAATAAGGAAAATCCTCAGATTGATTAGAAAGAAAGAATGGGAGAAGAGAGAACTGAGATGTACAGAGTCATTCAGAGGAGGATTGTGGAGCCCCATCAGTTGTGGAATGTATATTGGATATATCTCACTTTTTTTCAGTGAGACTCCTGGATTAAATTATTTTTGTTACTTTGTGACTGTCCCAATGTGTAGTCTTGGCAGCTGACTTGGCTCTCAATACATTGCCCAAGGTGGCCTTGAACTTACAGCAATCTTGTCATAACCCTACAGTGTTGAGATCAGTAATGTACCACCCACAGTTCTGAACTAAATCATTTTAAAATCATTGGGTATCCATCACCATCTGAGAGTTAGAGACCGTTATGTGTATACTCTATGTTTACTCCAGTTGATGCCAGTAGCCAGCAAGCTGAGTTTGCCCTCACTGTAGTAAACATTGTCCAGCTGCTTTTGAATTCTTTTCAAAATGTACTCAGCTGAAGTACAACTTCGTGCACTTGAGCAGTTCCCCCGTAACCATTGCCAGTGGAAGGAATGAATCTTTCTCGTCCCAGTCATCAGTGGAAACCCTATCATTAATGAGCAAACTGGAAACAAAACCTGATCTGTAAGTGTTATGCTGTTGTGCTGAGTGTGTTTACAAGTCTGATAGGCTAACATTTAAGGAAAAGAGTCCATTAGGTAACAGTTTAAAGGGTGAAGTGAAAATAACTGGAAAATAATTACTCTTTATTTATTCCCCCCCTTCTTATTTTGGTCATTCTTACAGTTTTGGCATTCACTCCCACCCGTGACCAAAGACTTGACCACTCAAAAGTCCAGCTCCCTGTAACTACTAGACATGGACACCGGTGTGATTGAAGGTGGATTAAATGTCACTCTTACTATCAGGCTACTTATGCATGGAAAGGTATGCACCAGTTTGGAAAATTGGGTCATAGTAGCTGGTATGGGAGGGGCCAGGAAAAGCAGACAAGCATGTGGGAGCTCATCAGATTAGCACCGTGGGACATCTGGCTGTGCCACTCTTCTCTAATGGAGTGTGGTGAAAAGATGGACAGCTTTTACTAGGAAGCCTCAATGAGCAAGAAAGACAAGCAGAGCCAAAAAACAGTCCTAGCTGGCTGGTAAAACATTCTGATGTATGTTGTTGTATCTTACAGTTTCAGAAAAAAAAATTTGTTTTGATTTTTGGAGATTGAGGGCCAACACTATTGTGGAGTTATATCCCCACGCCTCATTTTGCATATTACACAAAGGTGTGGTATTCATTCTGATTCTCAATTCTTTGGTAGCTTCACTATAAAATTTTGTGCAAGGAAATGAGTAAGTGCTTCCCCCCATGATTCTTAAAATCTATTTCTTTGATTTGGTAATTAGTATAATTAGCATTTGGTTAGCTGAACATTTAGAATTTTCATAATGATGAAAATGATGAACTCTGAATTTCCTGTTGCCAATGTTTTCTTTATTGCAGGAAGTTGGCAGTATCATCGGAAAGGTAAGAGTTTCACTTTAACACTAATTGCTATTTAGTCAGTCTGAGCTGAAATAGTTGGAGCTCATGCTTGACTTTTCCTTTTTCAGAAAGGAGAATCTGTTAAGAAGATGCGCGAGGAGGTAAGTTATAAGAACAGTGGGATTCGCTAGACTGAATCCCTGACCTGAAAAGGTTATGTATGATACATTACAGGGGTAGCGCTCAAAGGGGGGAAGCATTTTCTGGTTGATGTAATGACAAACAGTACAGTAGATAGGAAATGAATTTGTGCCGAGTCCCAAAAAACATGAGCTGCAGTATGTTGTTTGAGGACAAGTGGAGCAGTATTTGAAACGCTTGCTTTATTTAGGCAGCTTGTTGCCCTTGCCTGTGTGTGTTATCTAGGACGGGCTATCCTCTACAATTTCAGCTCTTTTTATCTATTAAAACTACTTGTTTCTTTTTCTTATCCAGAGTGGTGCACGTATCAACATCTCAGAAGGGAATTGTCCTGAGAGAATTATCACTTTGGCCGGACCGACTAATGCCATCTTCAAAGCCTTTGCTATGATCATTGATAAACTGGAAGAGGTTTGTTGTGTGTGTGTGTGTGTGTGTGTGTGAGAGAGAGAGAGAGAGAGAGAGAGAGAGAGAGAGAGAGAGAGTTTTAGGATTGCCTCTCCTTCCCATTACCTACCAGTCCTACCTAAAACAAAACTGAGGTTAAGTAAGCCTGTTAAGTACTTGAGCTGTACCTTCAGCCACTGTCTTTTTTTGTTTTAAGTGTATAATTTATTTTTATTTTACGTTTATTAGTGTTTTGCCCAAATTTATGTCTGTGGGGGGGCAGGTGTCAGAAGCCCTGTAGTTGGAGTTAGGGACAGGTGTGAGCTGTCATGGGTGCTGCGAATTGAACCAGGGTCCTCTGGAAGATCAGCCAATGCTCTTAACTGCTGAGCCATCTCTCCAGCCTTCCTCCCCTTTTGGTATGGCTTTCTTTTGGTCTTTTTATTTATTGAGATAATTGTGGAAGTCTGGCACTACTAGTAGTTCAAGATACCCTTCAGCAGTTCTGTGTCACCTTCCTGACTATTGGGATCTCATAAAATGTACACTACCCTTTCCAACTTTGTCATTGAAACATTTCCTCACTAATTGTTTTGAAGGCGTGCCATTGCTTCCTTGATGGTTTTACAGTTGAATGAACTTAATGTAGTTTTTTTTAGGGTCCTGCTGAAACCGTACATTTTGCATTTTGAACTCTATATACAGGCAGATACTGATAATTAAAAGTTAGAGGTAAAACCCTAGGTTTCTGAAAGCAAAATAGATAGAAGAGTGCTGTTTGGTTGATGCTTAGTGTTCCCTGAAATCTTATCCTTGCCCTGGTCAGAAATGTTATATTTTAAACTGCAGGATCCTGTTACTCCAGAATTTGCAGCTCAAATACATGCTATTGCCAGGCAGTGGTGACACTCACCTTTGATTCCAACACCTGGGAGTTAGTGGGAGGCAGATCTCTGAGTAATAGTCTCTTAGCTTGGAGTGGTGGTACATACCTTTAATCTTCCCAGTACTGGGAAGGCAATGGGGCAGATCTAAGTTTGAGGCTACTTTGAGCTACAGAGTTGAAACCTTGTATCAGAAGAAGAAAAAAGTTCTTGGCTTCATAGAATTGTATAAAAGCAATTTATACACCTTACTAGTACATGTAGATTAGGTGGAGAAGTGTCTTTTTTTGAAGTTTTTTTTTTTTTTTGGTTTTATTTATTCATAATTTTTGTATGAGTGTTCTGTATGTGTACTTGCATGCCAGAAGAGGGCAGCAGATCCTGTTGTAGATGGTTTTGAGTCACCCTGTGGTTGCTGGGAGTAGAACACAAGACCTGGAAGAACAGCCAGTGACCTTGAGCTTTCCACCCTCTGGAGAGTGTCCTAACCACTGATTTCTTCAGAAAGCTAAACAGCCTCGTGTACATAGTAAGTTCTAGGCCAACTGGACTACATAGTGAGACCCTGTCTTGAGGAGTTTTGAAACACCATCACCAACACAGGAGACAGAAGCAGGCAGATCTCTTGAGTTTGAGGATAGCCAGGGCTACACAGAGAAACCCTGTCTTGAAATTTTTTTGTTTTTATTTTTCAAGACAGAGTTTCTCTGTAGCTTTGGAGCCTGTGTCCTGGAACTAGTAACCAGGCTGGCCTTGAACTCACAGAGATCCGCCTGCCTCTGCCTTCCGAATGCTGGGATTAAAGGTGTGCGCTGCCACCACCTGGCTTGAAAACTTTTGACAAATGAATAAATTAATTAAAAATTTTGGGGGGTCTTTGAGGAAGCTCAACAGGTGAAGGCACTTGCCCAACACCTGACAATGGTTGGATTAGTCCCTGGGACTCACATTGTGGAAGGAGAGAGCTCACTTTCACATTTATTCTCTGACCTACACCTGGACTCACGTAAGTCAACAGCCATAACAATACAAAATCTTACGGTGTCTAGGAAAGCGTTTGATCAATACAGGTTTTGTTGTGGTTTGCTCTGTTTGCTGGAATAGAACCAAAGGCGTCATGCATATGCTCAGGCTCTTTTTGATTTTTTTTTTTTTTTTTTTTTTTTGGTTTTTGAGACAGGGTTTCTCTGTGTAGTCTTGACTGTCCTGGTCAGGCTGGCTTCAAAGCAAGCTCTGTAGACCAGGGTAGCCTCAAACTCAGGTATCTGCCTTTTGCCTCCTGGTACTGTAATTAAAGGCATGTGCCACAATTCCTGGGAAAGCATGGACTCTTAGAATTGATCTGTTGCCAACCCCAGAGCTCTACTTCAGAGCATTTTAGATATAATTCCTGGTTTCATTGTCTTTGTATTTTCAACAAATAAAACTGGGAAGTTGAAATCTGAGATTGGGTATAGCTCATGGTAGAGTGATTGGTAAGCATATGAAAGTCCTAGCGCTACAAAAGCCAAAAATACAAACTTAAATCATTTTAGCTATCTGGTATTGATTTTGTAAGAGGACATTCAGTTTGATTGTGGTTGCATTGCTTCATATATTCATATCTTTGGTTTAATTTTGACAATTTTCCCCTCTAGCTTAAATTACTCTTTGTGTATGTGTATATGCATGTGTGAATGTCCACACTGCGGTACCCGAGGAAGGATAGCAGGTGTTTTCTATTGTGTTCTGCCTTACAGCTTTGAGATACTATCTCTCACTGCCAGCCTTTCAGTTTCTTGTATACTTCTGTTCCACACCTAGTGGTAGGATTGCAGGCATCACAGCCATACCCAACATTTGTGGGTGCTGGGGATCTGAACTGATCTGGGTTCTTCCTTATTTGATTGTACAGAAAGCTTTCTTTACTACTGAGCCATCTCCCTTAACCCTACTTTTTTTTTTTTTAATTTGAATATTGGGTACTACGGCCTGGTGGTGGTGGTGGTGGTGGTGGTGGTGGCGGCGGCGGCACACACTTTTAATCCCAGCACTTGGGAGGCAGAGGCAGGTAGATCTCTTGAGTTCGCGGCCAGTCTGGTTTACAGAGCTAGTTCCAGGACAGCTCTAAAGCTACACAGAAACCCTATCTTGAAAAAAAAAAAAATTAAAAAAAAACAAAAATATTGGCTACTAGGATTAGAAACTTTGGATTGTGCATGCTTGACAAATTACATTTGTAATCCAAATGGAAGGAAGGCCAGCTTTGTTTGTTAGAAGTGTTGCTTTTTTCTGTACCCTTGTAGTGAAGAAAAATAAAATTATGGTTTCTTTTGCAGTTATTTTTTTAATTAATTAATTAATTAATTATGCGTACAATATTCTGTCTGTGTGTATGTCTGCGGGCCAGAAGAGGGCACCAGAACTCATTACAGATGGTTGTGAGCCACCATATGGTTGCTGGGAATTGACCTCAGGACCTTTGGAAGAGCAGGCAATGCTCTTAACCACTGAACCATCTCCCCAGCCCCTTTTGCAGTTATTTTTTCGTGTTTGTATGTGTTGTGGCAAGTGATCCATTCCAGGGTAAGCACTTTAACAATGAGCAAGTTCTGTTTGATTTGGAAGGATAGGGGAACATGGTCTGTTCCTACTGGATCTTACCTTTTCAGAGTCCTGGATAATAGGCCATACTACCACATTGGGCTCAGAAATTATAATGTTCACTTAGTTTGGTATAGTTATACATGTATGTTCCTTAGAAGTCCAGGAGTAATTGTTTTATGCACTTTCATATATATATATATATGTATGTGTGTGTGTGTGTGTGTGTGTGTGTGTGTGTGTGTATATATATATATATATATATATATATATATATATATATATATATATAAAATACACACTTATCTTTTTGGTGTTCTGAGTAATTTTCTTTTTTTTACAGGACATAAGCAGCTCTATGACCAATAGCACAGCTGCCAGCAGACCCCCAGTTACCTTACGGCTCGTGGTCCCTGCTAGTCAGTGTGGCTCTCTCATTGGAAAAGGTGGTTGCAAGATCAAGGAAATAAGAGAGGTTGGTTCCCCCCTTCCCCAAATGTCTGTTAGCTTCATTTTTTTTTTTTTTTTCTATTTAGACAGAACTCTGGGAGAGCCTCTGCCTCCTGAATGGTGCATCCTTATACCCATACTAGATTGTGTTATGGCTAGAAAAGTTTAGCGTGTGATGTGAAGATTTAAGATGGCCTTTGTGATAGTTCAGGTCTGTAATCTCAGCTGCATAGGAGACTCCAAGTTCAGGTCTTGCCTTTGCTGTAAAGTTCAAGGCCAGCTCATTGACATTTAGGAGACCCTATCTAAAAAAATACAAGATGGAGCCAAGTATGGTGGTGTATGCCAGCACTTGGGAGTAAGAGGCAGAAGGGTCAGGTTGAAGTCAGCATGGTCTATCTACATAATGAGTTCCAGGCCAGCCAGGTGAGATCTCAGTTTTTAAAAAAACATAGGATTAAAAAAGGTGTTGAAATTTGGTTCTGGTAGTACAGTAGTTGCCTAACGTGTCTGTGGCCCTATGTTTAACTTGATAACTGACCATGATTAGCAGTCCTTGAAGACTGTAGTGTGATGATACTAGAATTAAAGTGTTACAATTTTCCTGAAAACACAATTCAGGAGCTGGAGAGATGGCTCAGTGGTTAAGAGCACTGGCAGCTCTTCCTTGGGTCCTGAGTTCAATTCCTAGCAACCACATGGTGGCTCACAACCATCTATAATGAGATCTGAGGCCCTCTTCTGGCCTGTATACATACATGCAGGCAGAACACTATATACATAATAAATTAATTAATAAAAACACAATTCATATATTTCAGTTTTTGTGCTATCCAAGGTAGGTACTCAGGGCCGCACAATTGCAAGGTGGAGATGGAGAGATGGCTCAGAGGTTAAGAGCACTAACGGCTCTGCAGAGGTCCTGTGTTCAATACCCAGCAATGACATGGTGGCTCACAAATGCAAGGTGGATACTCCCCCATTGAGCTACATCTCAGTGCACTATTCCCTAGCCCCTTTTATTTTTTAAAGGTGAGATCGTTGCTATGTTACTAGCCTGGGACTTCTAAATTTACTAGTATTTTTCCCTCAGCCTCCCAAGTACCTAGGACTAGATACAGCCTTGCCTAGTTCAGTAATGAGTCAGAATATGAGAGAGTAACTTCGCATATAGTTACCTTTATTTTATCTTGGGTCGGGGGAGGTCAGTTTTTTTGAGACATGGTTTCTCTATAGCCTTGGCTCTATTGGAACTTGCCCTGTAGACCAGGCTGACCTTGATTTCAAGGAGATCCATCCATCTGCCTCGGTCTCCCCAGAGCTGGGATTAAAAGTTGGTGTTACCATGTCCCATTTCATGCTTCCTCTCCCCCTTCCTTTTTTACTCCACAAGACAGATTTTTCTGGCCTGGCTGTTCAATTAAGTCATCAGGGATTCTCCTGTCTATCTTTTATGTGTTCTTGGTTTTGTGCTTACAAGCATTTTATAGACTGGGCCATCTTCCTTTGCGCCCCCCCCCCCATTATTTGTGTTTAGTGCATACATAAGCACCTATGTGTGCATACTGGTCAGAGGACATGTGCATGACAGCCAGTTTTTCTATCCTACCATGTGTATTCACTGCTCCAATACAAGTTGGTAGATTTAGTTGCCGTTGTCTTTACCTACTGAACCACTAAATTTTTTTTTTTTCTGGTAGATTTCATATTTTGAATTTTTTCAAGGCAAGGTTCCTGGAACTCTGTAGAACAAGGCTGATCTCAAATTTAGACCCTCCTGCTTCTGCTTCCTGAGTATTGGGATTAAAGTCAAGAGCCATCCAGCCTGGGTTGAAGATGTACCCTGTGTGAATATTTGCATGAAAGTGCAGGTGCCCTGGAATCCAGAAGAAGGTTCTGGATTCCCCCGGACTGGAGTTTCAGATGATTGTGAGCAGAATTACGTAGGTGCTAGGAACTGAATTCAGATTATCTGTAGGAATTATTATTTTTTTTTTTTAATATTTATTTATTTATTATGTATACAATATTCTGTCTGTGTGTATGCCTGCTGGCCAGAAGAGGGCACCAGACCCCATTACAGATGGTTGTGAGCCACCATGTGGTTGCTGGGAATTGAACTCAGGACCTTTGGTAGAGCAGGCAATGCTCTTAACCTCTGAGCCATCTCTCCAGCCCCCATCTGTAGGAATTATTATTAGGAAGCTGTAAACAACAGAGCTGTCTCTCTAGTCCTAAAATAATTTTAAAACTTTATTTATGTATGTATGCACACCACATAGTCACCACTTGTCAGCAGAATGCAGAAGAGTTGGATCTCATGAAATGGAGTCACAGACGGTTGTGAGGGACATGTGGGTGATGGGAACTAAACCCAGGTTCTCAGCAAGAGCAACAGATGCTCTTAACCATTCGGTCATTTTTCCAAGTCCCTTAAAAACAGTTTTTAAGGCTAGGTCTCACTATATAGTTCTAGCTGTCCTGGAACTCACTCTGTAGACCAGGCTGGTCTTGAACTCACAGAGGTATATCTTAACTCTACTTCTTAAGTACTGGGATTAGAGGTGGATACCATCGCTTTCTGGCTTTTTTTTAATCTCTTATTTTTTATTTTATGTGCATTGATATTATTAGTATTTTCCCTACAGTTATGTCTGTGAGAGAGCCAGAGCCCCTAAAATGGAGTTCCATACAGTTGTGAGTGGCCATGTGGTGGTGCTGGTACTTGAACCTGGTTCCTTTGGAAGAGCAGCCAGTGCTCTTCAACCTCTAAGCCAGTCTCCACCTGGCTTCTTTATCAATTCTTCATTAATATTTTTTATGTCTAAATGAAATGTTACTAAATGGTTTTGAAGGGAAACTAGTTGGAATTTTTTGAAGTCTTTGTACAGGACGGTTAGTAGTTTTTTGCACAGGGACCATGTGTTTTTGTGGGTCAGGAGAAGTGGTTTTGTGATAGTGTCTTACTATATCCAAAGTTGGCCATAAACGTGTCAGATGGTCCATCTGTTTTAGCTTCAGAGATTATAGGTGTGAATAACTAGTTTGAGATTTTGTTTTGATGATAAATTTTAAATACTTGGAATGATATCTGACATAGAATAGGATTGATGAAAATATTTGCTCAAATAAGAGTATGAAAGGTAGGTGATAATTGTGAGGAGTTTGTTTGGCACGCAAAGCTGTCGTTATTGGGTAAGAGAAGATTGTTTAGAAGAGACTTCCTTGTGCAGGTTAAATGTAGACCATTATGCAGTTTTATTCTTATCTTTCAGAGCTAATTAATTTTTTTCTAATGTAGGTTAAAAAAGTTATGTCAATTAAATTTTCCATTTTAAGAACTTGTTTAAATCAGTGGTTCTCAACTTATGCTGTGACTCATTAAGACAGGTCGCTCATGTTGTGCTTACCCCCAACCATAAAAGTTTTTGTTGCTATTTTATAACTTATTTGGCTGCTCTTATGAATCATAATGTATATATATGGTATGTAGAATTATCTGATGTAAATTTTATGCAAACGACATGTTGAAAACTGTCATTACTGAAGACTTATTGCACCAAATCTTAAGACAAAGGACACTGGACATTAAGAAAGAGGTCCACCCGTCTTTGGTATCCAGTGCAGTTACTTTTCTTATGTGTGCTCTGCTAGCATCAGAGTTTATTTATTTATTTTTAACTTTTTGTAAGCAGTTGTGTCAGATAAAGGAAGAATGGGAAAAGAGAAAGGGGGGGTAATAAGGGGGTAATGAGTGTCTATTGAATATCACATTCTAAAGTTGCCATTGGGGAAATTGAATTGGAAAACATAGTTTTTCTCTGATTTTTAATTTCCTTTTACCTTAAAGAGTACAGGGGCTCAGGTCCAGGTGGCAGGGGATATGCTCCCCAACTCAACTGAGCGGGCAATCACTATTGCTGGCATTCCGCAATCCATCATTGAGTGTGTCAAACAGATCTGCGTGGTCATGTTGGAGGTAAGCCCTCAGGCTCATGCTGGAGGTGGTGATTCTGGGGACAGGAACTGATCTATATTTAGTAAGACTAGAATTAGGTGGAGCTGGTAGGCTATCAGTGGGGGTGGGGAAAGATGTTCTCTTGTTTATATTTTCCTTTTGCCAGTTTTGACTTATCTTAGTTTGTGAGCAAAAATAGGATCTGCTAAGTAGTCTTGTGGCTCAGAATAATTTTAGTATTGTGGGTAGGGTAAGAGACTACAAGGATTTTGGATTTCTGAAACTGACCTTTTGAATTGCTTGACATTGATATAGTTCTTTTATTTTTTGAAACAGGATATAGTCAATAGTTAGAAAAAAATATCAAATGGTAGTGTTTCTGAGTGAATTATGAAGTCCTGTTATTCTGTTGCAAAAAAAAAAATAGAAATTAAAGGAAATTAAATCTTTTTGAGTTACATGAAGTTGAATCTGAAAGGAAAAAGATGTTGCTTGTGTCTTTTTGAACCATATATATAACATTTGGAAATTTCATATCCAACTTAGATTTTATTACTTATACAAAAATAAGAGATCCTAAATTATCAGTTGAAGTATATCTACATTTTTGTGTGTGTATGGATTAAATTTATTTACAAGTATGGAAATCAGCCTGGGGGTTATGGTGCATGCCTTTAATCCCAACACTTGGGAGGCAGAGGCAGGCAGATCCTTGTGAGTTCGAGGCCAGCCTGGTCTTCAACAGCTAGTTCCAGGACAGGCTCCAAAGCTACAGAGAAACCCTGTCTCGAAAAAAAAAATCCAGAAAACAACCAAGTGTAGAAATAATGACTAAAACTATTTCAGGACATATTTGGTGAAAATTAGTGAGCCATGAAGCTTCTTGTTGCTTTAAAGACAAATAATAAATATCAGATATTTGAGATTACAATATCTAATCATGTACAGCTTGGTAATTGAGGGGATGGAAGTCATTTTTATTTAACTGACCTGTGTGTGCTATCGCCACACAGCTGAAGCAGCTTTGAAACCTTATCTCTTTTTGTTTTTTTCCCCTCTGACTCTCTCCCAGTCCCCCCCGAAGGGCGTGACCATCCCGTACCGGCCCAAGCCCTCGAGTTCTCCAGTCATCTTTGCAGGTGGTCAGGTAAGAGAACTCTTATTGGTGGGCAGAATGAACAGAGAGTGTTAGATATCTGCTTTGCCAGCAGCACACCAAGCTACTTTGCATGCTTGCTGAAAACATTTGGCCATAGTTTGATTTGCTTTTTTTCTTTCTTTCTTTCTCTCTCTCTCTCTCTCTTTATTTATTTTTTTATTTTATTTATATTTTTTTTTGGTACTATAGAAAATTTTGAATGCCAAGACCTTATTTATGTGGAAGTTTTGTAGACACTCAGAAGAGTAATTAATTTTGTGGTGGTTTGGGTTAAAGTTAAATTTCTTTCAGTGTCATTACTTTCCCTATATCACCATCCCATTCATGCTTTTGTGTGTGTGGGATGTTAGAGATGAGTAATGATAGCAAAGAAGGGTGGTAGTCTCAAATGGCATGGGGGCATGGGGTGGTAGGCTCTTGAGCTTGAGTGTCCTACAAACTTTCCCTCCCCTTCACCTCATCTCCCCTACTCTACCCTTTCACCCCCAGACTCTTAAACTCATAACCACTGGTTTGAAACCCCGTGGTATAATTTAAATCAGCTGGAATAAGAGGAGCATTCAAGGATAGGATGGGGAGAGCATGTTGGGCTTGGCGCCTCTATTCCTCACCAATCTAAACCATTTATTTATCTTTTGACACATGGTTTATGCTAAAGTTAGGATTGTGTGAGAAGAGTATTGATAAATGTCATGGTGCTAGTGTATTCTGATTGTTAGTGTTAACTCTGAAGTAGGTTTTTAGAATTCTGTGATTTAGGTTGAAATAGTCGCAGTCATTTTGGTAGGTGAAGGTATGTTGCTTAAAGTGCCCTTCCCACTTTGGACTGTCCTATTTAAAAAACATCTGTATTTAGCTAGTTATATTTGTATTTAGTCTGAAAGGCATTTGAGAGAGGAAAGTATCAACTTGGAGATCGTCTCACATTTTACTGAGTAATAAAAGTGAACAAGTTTATGTCTTGCTGAGAGTTTTCATAAGTGTTATTGTGAGATGTGTTAGGACTTTGTTTAAGCATTAGCTTTGTTTCAGCAGGTTTGTCAAAGGCCTGCCAATACAAGTAGTTGGGAGGATAAGCAGTAGCCAGGAGGGTTAGCCCCAGGAGTTAACCATGGAACTCTAGGTTATCCAATGCTGGGTCACCAATCCATCCTTCTTCTCTTCCTCCCTGTCACTCCTTTACCTTTGTACCTTTTTTCTTCCTCTCCATACCTACCTCCCTTTATTCAGTTAACTGCCCTCTTAAAGCTTGCAGCTTCTTCCATGACTTGCCCTGTTATGGGTCATTCCCATGGGCCTTTTTATAAATGGACCAGTTCATACAATGTCCACATATGGACCTCTGTCTTTTGTGGCAAAGTGGGTTCTGTAGGGGTTTAACTCAATCCTACAGTGACCAAGACCAGCATCAGCTCTGTTACCTCACCCCCCACTCTTACTGAAAATAACCCAATTGTGCAGTATCATCTGCCACTAGGTAACTTTTTTTTATTCACTCATTACAGCTCGTTTCAAATCTGTGTTGTGAGCTCCTTTTTAAGGAAAAAAGAAAAAAAAAAAAACAACTTTTTTTTTTTTGGTGTGAATTTCATGCTGGTGACAAGGTGCCGGATTGACAGCCCTGGAGACTGAAATCCTCTATTTATCCACAGGACAGGTACAGCACAGGCAGCGACAGTGCGAGCTTTCCCCACACCACCCCGTCCATGTGCCTCAACCCTGACCTGGAGGGACCACCTCTAGAGGTGAGAGGGGATGTTCAGTCTCCAAGGCTCACTCAATCCTTCCGCCTCAGCCGAGACTGCCAACACACGGGGGGCCAGTGGCGCTGGTGATTTTTGTGCTGTGGACACCATCTGTCCACGGGGACCTGGACTGACCTCCCCACCTCATTTCACACAGGCCGCGTAGCCCACCAGATGGTAACGCCAACCTTTTTTTTTCTTTTTAATTTTTTTCTTTTTTTCTTTTTTTTTTTTTTGGTTGCTGTTGTTCAATCCCTCTTTCCCTCTCCCACTCCTCCCATCCCATTTTCACCTTCCCACCCCCACCTGGATGTACTTTTGGGGGTACTCGCCACTGTAACTGATGTGAGAAAGTTCACATTCTATTAAGTAACCAGCCACTCCCTTCCATTCCTTTTTTCCTTTCCTTGTCACCCCCCCCCACCCAATTTCCCTAAAGACCCAGCTCCCTTTTTGGGAAGATATGGTGTGGGGAGGAGGGCATAGTGGGAGCTGCAAGTGCCTTTATGCAGGGGTAGGGGAGGGGGGCAGGAAAGACAGGACTTAGCAAATTGATCCTTCCCCTCCCCAGTGCTTCTGTGTCAGGTCCCTGGCATTAGAGACCTAGCTAGCTTCTTGTCAATTTAGGGTCTTAGGCAATGTTGTATATATATGGTGCAGGTTTGTGTAGATATAAATCATTGATTACTGTCTTGAATTGAATATATGGGGTAGGGGGATTGGTCAGTTGAGCCATTGCTTTTATTTTCCACATTTTAGGTAAAAAGCTGAATTGTGTATTTTACCTTAATCGAAGAGAACTTGTAGACCCTTTTAAGAGGATCTGTGGAATAAAGTTGCTGTATTTAGGGTTCATAGAAGCCCAGCTCAGGTCTGACTATTTGTGAGATTCCCTTTACTGTCTCAATATGCCTCCCTTTGTCTAGTTCAACTCTGGCTTCCTGGCTAGTTGAAAACTTGCTCTCCCCCCGCCCCCACCGGGTGGCTGTCCGTGATTGGTTTTTAATAGGAATTGTTTTCCTCCTTTTTTAGGCCTATACCATTCAAGGACAGTATGCCATTCCACAGCCAGATGTAAGTTTTGATTTCACTTCTTGTTTGAAAAACTCCCTCTCTATCCAAAATTGTTTGATTCCTTTCTCCCTAGTAGACAGGAGTAAGTTGGGTCTTGAACCAATGGTGTTGTTACAGCTTAGAAAGTGAATCACACATTATCAGCTTGTTTGCCTTTGACTGTAACCCCTAGACATGATCAGATTATTAAGCTGTGTTTCAGATTATTCTAAAAGAAATGTTCTATGGTGCACTATTAATATCTTGGCACAATTTAAACTGTCATTAAAGTATGCTTCCCATTGGGGAATGGGAGGTCGGGTTTGCCTTTAGGCACTTCTCATTCTGAGATTACAAATTAGAACAGGCATTGAGGGAAACTAGAAAACTAATTGTTGTAATTCAACTCAAACTTTACTGAGAAGAACCTCTTATTAAAAGTACTGATATTTAGATTTTTATTCAAGGACTTTTTTTTTTGCACACTTCTTTCATCATTAAAAACCCTCACAGGTGCCAAGTACTAGGTCTGGGAAGTTGAGTCTTGGTTAGTGGCAGCTTCAGGAGAGTGTGGAGTAGGGTGGAAAAGGGTGTTCTGTCACCAGCTTGGGCAGGTTTTTGTGTGTTGGGAAAGGATTTGTTGAGGTGAAGCCCAGTTTGGTTTCTTGTTAAGCTTCTCTCCTCCCTGCAGTCTCCCTGCCCCCCTCATCTCCTTCCCTTTTCCCAATACTGGTGGAACCCTGCATGGTGTGTTTTCCCTAGCACCACTGCACAGTTGTTTACCTAGCCTGTCTGTGCTTGTCCCTGGGGCAGCCATTGCCAATGGCTGCCTACACCTTCATTAAACAGTCCATAGGGGATGGTTGTGGGCCAGCGTTACTGCTTCCTTTTCACACACCCCAATGCGTTCATTCTTGTGTACTGACATCCTTTCTATTTCTAACCCTACTGTCCTGTATTCTGCCTGTCCTCTGGATTGTACTGTAAAGCCCCATTCTTATCCTGTTACCATTGGAATAGTAGCATCAACTTTGGGAGGCAGGAGCTGTGTTCATTTTCCCATGTGGATGTGCTTGAGTGCTGACTAGGTTACCCTTCTAATGCTGGTCTCTCCTGTTTTCCTTTCTGCAGTTGACCAAGCTGCACCAATTGGCAATGCAACAGTCTCATTTTCCCATGACCCATGGCAACACCGGATTCAGTGGTATGGATACCTTAGTGTTTATTTTTGTAAGGTGTAGTACAAGACAGAGGCCAGTCCCAAGGTCTCAGCTTGACAACTGTTTAAAACAAACTTCATTATCATCTAGCACCTGCTGGTATAAAGTTGACCTACTATGGCTAAAGGAGGTAATGTGTTTGTTAACATGGTTTTCATTTGGGGTGAGTTAATTATAAAAGAATAAAAAGCCCTGGAACGTTTGGGGTGAGGTTTGGGGATGCTTGTCAGGAAAGGGGTAGACTGATACTTTTAGTACCTATCCTCATAGTGGCCCCCTTGATCTGATTAGCATCCCCTTTCTCTCAACCAGGTGTTCACAAGACTTGGGTAGAGACAATCCATTTGTTCCAAAGTATATAGTGCATTTTTGGTTTTGTTTTTCTTTTGTTTTGGGGCTTTTTTTTTTTTTTTGGTATAAGGGATAACTTGTCCGATAGGGTTAGAATGAGACCACCAAACTCATTTTCACTTGTATCTTAACAGGCATTGAATCCAGCTCTCCAGAGGTGAAAGGCTATTGGGGTAATGATTAAAAAAAAATCTGTAGTATTCTACTGTTATATTAATAAACTGGTGGGAGTCTTGTTTCACTGCCCATAAACCATACCAGCTACATGCATATGGTAGAGAGGAGCTGAGAGAGCAGAGGTAGGCTTGGTGCCCTGAGGGTCCCTTGATGGATCTGGCCAACTACCCTCTAAAAATGTAGTTGAGAGCAGGACTAGAACTGTAAGGGTTAGCCAGCCAAAGTGGCCAATCCTGGTGTTCTTAGGGATGGGTAGGGGTGTTTAGGATGGGATTTCTTTTTTCTTTTCTTTTTTTCTTTGGAAAACCAAACAAAAGCCAGAAGAATTAGACCAAAAGACAGAACAAATCTGGAGAAATAAGCTCCCCTCAAACTTATTGGCATTTAATCTTTGTGATCTTTAAGTCTAGCTTGGGAGGATAGAGATGGAGGTTGTTACTCTGATACAGGTATAATTGAAGCAATTCAGTGTATGTGCCAAGAGTCTATGATACCCGGTAACAGGAATGGAATTGGCACGGATTCTAGTGAGCATTGGGCGAAATAAAACCAGGACACAACAACAATCTTAATCAGAAAAGACGTAGATGTATAGAAGCTCTGGTGTTCAGGTTTTGCTCCTGTTTAAGAATACCACACTCTGCCCCATGTTATCTCCCTACACCTGTAGTCTGGGCTTTGCAGGAAATGGCATGAAATCAGCTCTTCTGATTGTACAGGAGAATCTTTGCAGCATTATTTTGATACCCCTCTCCCATCTTTCCTCCTTGGGGGCTTCAGAGTTAGTGTTGAACCCCAACAGCCAATGCTGGTTTCCAGCTTATTTCCTTCTGTTAGTTTAATATGCAGATCACTCATTCTGCATGCTGCGCATTAAACTTTCTTGCTCTTTTCTGTCTTTTAGCAGGTTTGGATGCATCTGCTCAAACTACTTCTCATGAACTCACCATTCCAAATGATGTAAGTATAAAGTATGTTAGAATCCTGAGGAAAATATTGCTAGAGAGAATTGATAGAATTAACTGTGTTATAGTTTTCAAACACAGAACTTCTTTCTCTCCTGTAGAAATTCTTACTTGCCTTTTACTTAAAACATCTGGAAGGTGGTGAGACCAAAAGTGCATCCGAATTTAACTTTGTGCTCTGGGAGGAGGGATGTCAGGATGAATTCACGAATTTTGATGGCCCAACACTAGATAGCATGCTTAGGTTCATTATCAGTATGGTTCTGGTTATTTTGTCTTTGGAGTGGAGGCAATACTATGGGGATATACGCAAAAACTAACGGTTGGACTGAGAAATTAGCTTCAAGTTGACGTTGATTTATAATCACATGAATGGTTCAGAAATTAAATGAGACCTTAATTTTGAAGGTTTTGCTAGTAATACACCCGAAGGTCGGAGAGTGCAAATTTAAGCACAGGGTGTAGAAATTGATTGGTATGTGGTCTTGTGTGTAGCTGTTCGGCTCTTAATTTGGTGTGCTTTTTTTTTTGTTGTTGTTTCTCAAGTTGATTGGCTGCATAATTGGGCGTCAGGGCGCCAAAATCAATGAGATCCGTCAGATGTCTGGGGCGCAGATCAAAATTGCAAACCCAGTGGAAGGATCTACTGATAGGCAGGTCACCATCACTGGGTCTGCTGCCAGCATCAGCCTGGCTCAGTATCTAATCAATGTCAGGTAAGTTTGACCTCTCCTTTGCTTTATTGATGCCACAGTAGTGAGGGAGGGTGTTTCCATATGTGGGTTTACTTGAGGGGGTAGAGATTGCAAAAGTTCCCACCCCGTTTCTTTTCCTAGAGCTCTGCTTCTGTCTTTAGCAGAGAAAAATAGCCAGATTGGAGTTTTATAGATTGCTTGTTTTGGAACAGTGGGAAGGGTGGCAGTATGTGTCTTACTTGTTTGACACATACAGACAGGTTATTTCTTTTATGGTTTTAGAGTCCAAAGTAACTTGAATTTTAGGGATAATGATACATCTAAATAGTTTCTTGTAGGTACCTGTTACCATTTACTTTGCAAACATATTTCTCAAATGGGAAGTGTGTTCAATTTTTTTTTTGTTTTGTTTTGGTTAAAAAAAAGCACAGCTAGGGGCTGGAGAGATGGCTCAGAGGTTAAGAGCACAGACTGCTCTTCCAGAGGTCCTGAGTTCAATTCCCAGCAACCACATGGTGGCTCACAACCATCTGTAATGAGATCTGGTGCCCTCTTCTGGCATACAAGCATACATAGCAGGAATGCTGTATATATAATAAATAAATAAATCTAAAAAAAAAAAAAGCACAGCTTTAGGGGTGCTCCAGATACTACAGGGATATTTTTTTTCCTAGTTATTCTCATGCATCTGCAAGTGACTTTTAAGGTCTTACTTCCCTATTTGTAGGTACTGTTCCTACACTTTGAGTTGTAGGACAATTGTATATAGTCAAATAAGCATCCATCCTACCAGGTGTTTTCTTTCCTTCGCTCTGCTCACTCACATTGTTAGTAACAGTCCGTGTCCAAAGGGAGTCACAGTCACGTTACACATGTGCTCATCCAGAGTGTTTTACTCCTAGTTGAAGACTTGTCCATTCCCCTTGAGCTGCTGCAGTTCTTCATACAGAAAGAATTGTGTCTAGATGTACTTTGTTTTACTACACATCAAGTTTTTATGTTGAGTAAATTAGCAGGAATCTTATACAGACTCTTGTTAGTAAAGACTTTGGTTTCTAGTTCACACTGGAGGAAAGTTTTTTTATGGCAAAAATAATGCTTTTGGGATCTAGAAATTGTTAGCTTCTACTTTGGGTAAGCTTGCTTACTTGGAGATCAAATTATAGCTTTAAATTTAACCTTTTCTGACTGGTGTGTTTTTAATAAGTTAGTGGCTACATTGTAAGGAAGCAAACTTCATTACTTGATGTAACTGTAGAATTGTTTAAATTAAACTGGTGAGTGAAACTATCCAAACTATGGATTTGGATTAGAAGTTGTTTTTTTTTTGTTTTGTTTTGTTTTTTCAGCCGGTAGCCCTGGAAGTCTTGGAACTTCTTTAGACCAGGCTGGCCTTGAACTCACTGTCTCCTCCTGAGTGCTGGGGTTAAAGTGGGTCGGAACTTTTTAAAGCCTTATCACCAGTTCTAGGGTGTATACATTGCTGCCTTTTTTTTTTTTCATTTTAAAGCTTTTCTTCTTGGCTCTGTCTGAAGGAAAACAAGGAAACTGTTTTTATTTGTTTTCATTATTGGCTTCATAGCATTTCTGCTGTGCTCCGAGCTTTTTTTCATGGGGTTCTGTGTCTTTATGTGGCTCATTACTGTGATAATTAATGACTAAATGGCCCTCAACAAGCTAAACAGAATGGAATTAGGAGAAAGTTTCCTGTGGAAGTGACCTTGTAGGAGTTTGTGTTATCTCAGCAAATACCTGTGACCCTGCTTAGCTGGAGGACTTTGTAGGACTAGAAGGTGCATTATTTTTGTCTTTAAGCACAAAGGTTAGCTGGTGGTGGCGCAAACTTTAATCCCAGCACTCAGGACAGACAAGGCTACATAGAGACCCTATAAATAAAAAAAAAAATAATAAACTCCAGGTATGGTGGAGTTTATCCCAAACTTTAATCCCCAGAGGGAGAGGCTGGTGGATCTCTGAGTTCAAGGCCAGCCTGATCTACAAAGAGCAAGTTACTGGATAGGCTCCAAAGCTACAGAGAAACCCTGTCTCAAAACAAAACAAAACAAAAACAAGAACAGAACAAAAAACCACAAAGGGTGATAGTACTTCAGTATTTCAAGTTTAAAATATAGGAATGCAGTTAAAATGAGAACTTCCCTGGACCTCATCTACGCTTGTTCTTTTAGCTTTTTTTTTTAATGCTACATTCTTTGAAGTTAGTGATCTACTTTGACCTTTTTGCCTCCTTCCATTTTAATATTTTGGTTCATTTGCTGTGAAGATGTAAATAGGCTTTAATATTAACTACAGAAAAAAATTTTTTTAGGCATGCATGATGATTCACACCAGTAATCCTAGCACTGAGGAATCTGAGGCAAGAGGTTCTAGTTGGCAGTCAGCCTGGGCTACGCAGGAAGACCCTGTCTGAAAGTCTTCAAATAGCTGCAGTGTACAATGTGGTGTTCTTAAGTAATTGTTGAGTTGTTGATCCTTCACTTAAGTGCAAAACTGAAAATTCGGTTGTATGAACTGATTTTTGTATGTTTGGTTGGTTTACAAGGTTATCTCATTCAAATAATAGTCTTCTTTAAACACTTTTGGGGACTTAGAGCTCTTAGTGTGTGTTAGGTAATTCCCAGACATCTTTGTCTGATTTTCTTTGGAAAGAGGGTCTTAAAGTTGCCTCTTAAACTCTCTATGTAGCCCAGGCAGGCTGTGGGCTTCTGATGTTTGTCTCAGCTTCCATAGTAGCTGTGCCACTAGGCCTGACTCCTTCACTCTGTTTCTGGGTTGGGAGGTGTACGCTCTGTGTGATTCCTTTTCTCAGTCTTGTCAGTTATGTCTTTACCAGAGCAGTTTAAACAGCTTGTGTGTAGGAGGGAAGGTAGGTGATGATGATACAAATATTTAGAGGGTGGGCACAAGCTAAAAGAGTTTGGTAAAAATTGGTAGTATACCTTCCTAATTGGCAGCCAAAGGCACTTACTAATAGAACTGAAGCGGATTTTGTCCTGTACTTTTTCCCTGTTGTGGTCTTCCCTTCCACCCACCCTTTTTTTTGTTCCTTTTTTCCTCTGTTACAGTTTAGAAAACGCTAAACCCTCCTCCCAGACAGCCTCCGTCACGATCCCTGATCACCTCAGCATCAACCTCTCTCAACCCTCCACCCCTTCTTCTTCTTCTTCCTCCTCCACCACCACCCCCTCGCTCGCCACAGCGGGGACTTCCGACGCACCCTCCAGCCTCCCCAACCCTCTTCCGACCGCCCCTTGTGTCTCCAGTCTGCTTGGCATGAAACCCATCCCTCTCCTGGCTCTAAATGTTGTGTCTGCTGCTAAGGGTACCGGGGCTTCAGCTACCACCACCACCACCTCTACTGTGCCATGTGTAACTAACAAACTGAAAGGCGAGAAACAGAGATTCTCTCCCTACTGAGTGCATATCTTGGCACCTCCTCGAGTGTTGGTTCATCTTGTTTTTCTTTGTTAACATTGGTGAGAACCAAACTATTGTGAGCTTGTGACCGTTTCTTTTTACTACTTTTGGGGATATCTGGGCGGGGGTGGGGACGGGTAATTCTTGTTTAGGTTTAGGTCTTACAGCTCAGTGCCTGTTTGAGAGTCTGACTTGTTGATTGAAATCATTATCTAGAGCCAGTTCTTAACTCTCCCTCATTCTGTTACACTTTTGTAGCTTTATTCTGCCTTGCAATATAGAAATGATGTGTTAGGCTCTGTGTTGATGAATAAAAAGCTTCTCCGTTAATCCTTTCCTTTTTTTTTTTTTAAAAAAGAACTTTTAAATTATTTAATGGTTAAGCTGTCAGCTGGCCTTGGCCAAATCTGTGTCTCTAGTTACAATAAAGTTGCCACAGTAAGAACCATAGCTCACTGTGTGATGTAACGGGTGAAGGGGTGGGGACTTGTGATCTGTGCCTTGTAAGCTTCGATGGCTGTGCAGCCTACTTGGGCCTTTTTGCATCCCACATGAATTTTGTAACCCCTTGCCAATATTCCCAAGTAGAAGGGCCTTCAGTAGCTTCAATACTAAAGAGTCTTCATGATTGCTAACACCAGTTGGTAACAAGGGTGTCTTTTGCCCAGCTGTTCCTCTGGTGAGTGGTTATTTCAAAGGCACACATAGGATTTACATCTTTATTCATAATAATAGACAATGGTCAATGTCAAAGGTAGCTACTGTCTATATTCCATTAGAGGATTATTAAATATCCTTCTGTGATGTTAGGAAGCAATTATCTCTGAGCATGTTAAATAGTTATTCTATTTCCTGCCTGCCCTTCTCTCACTAACATCACTATCATGAGTGAAAGACACGGTTAGATTTGAATGGACTTTACGGACTGTTCAGTAGGATCTAGGAAAGAAGACCCAAGAGAATATACTTATGACATGCGTGGTTACCCAGATCTAATAATTGTTTGTGCTGTGCTTTTACACACTTAGCTCCTGGTGTGTAAATTCTCTTTTTTCTGGTACTGGAGCTTGATCCCAGGACCTGGAATGGTGTGGTTTACGACGGGTAAATCCGATTTTTTGTTGTTGTTGTTTTGCTTTGGTTTTTTTTGAGACAGGTTTTGGATCCTGTCCTGGAACTCACTCTGTAGACCAAACTGTCCTCGAACTTAAACAGATCCACCTGTCTCTGCTTCCCAAGTTGCTGCGATTAAAGGTGTGTGCCTCCACTGCCCAGCTTTTTGCTTTTTTTTTTTTTTTTTTTTTTTTTTATCAAGATGAGCTACAAGTATTTTCCACAAAAGAGGAAAATGATGTGCTGGGGCTGCGGATTGAAAGCAGTGGTACAATATTTGCTGGGTCCTGGGTTTATTCTCTTGCATTGGAGAACAAAAACGGAAGAGCAATGTATCCCATATGGTGAGAAGGCCATTTGATTCTCTTGTCAACCCATGGACATATTGTGAGTTTTCTTTACTGTGAAGGTTTCCATGTAGATTTTTTTCTGATGGCCTTTCCCAGCCTAGAGTGATATTGAACAACAGCAGAAAGACGTGGCTGTTCTTGTGTACTACATTACCTTTCAGTGTTAGGGTGACCTTACACGTTTGTGTTCAACGTACCCTGGGTCAGGGTGATAGCTGTGTCCTATGCTGAGTGGTTCAACTCTCTATGGTTCAGACATTACTATGCTGATAACTATCTCCACAGGGATTTTATTTTTAATTTTATCTTGTCTGTTGGAAGGATTCTGTTTTTGTTTTGCTTGTTGTGTTTTTTTTGGGGGGGGGTTGTTGTTTTTGTATTTTTTTTTTCCTTTTGTTTTTTGAGACAGGGTGTCTCTGTGTAACAGCTCCTGGCTGTTCTAGAACTCGTCTGACCAGGCTGGCCTTGAACTCACAGAGATCCACCTGCCTCTGCCTCCCAAGTGTTGGGATTAAAGGTGCCCAGCTGATATCTAACAGATATCCCCAATAAAGAATTGCTGGGATGGAACCCAGATATTCAGGGGACTTGACTGTCATGAGTCAGATGTGTTTCTAGTTGAGATTTCTCTTCTGTGCTCACCCTCTGCATCTTGCCCTTTATAAATTTTTAGGCTTTATAGTGAGTGCTGGACAGTTGTTGAGCTGCTTATATGTGGCCACCGTGCTTCCACCCTATATGGTAGGGTTTTTTGTTTAAGATACTAGATTTAAACTAACCAGTTCCATGGAACCTTTGTTACCTACAAAAGCTCTATCATTCAAAGCTTGTTTTACTTATTTATGTGTGTTTTATGTGTGTTTGCATGTGCATTATATGTGTGCAGGGCCCTCGAGCACCTCAAAATGTTGGATCCCATGAAACTGGAGTCACAGACAATGTGAGCCACCAAGTGACATTTGTGAACCAAATCCAGGTCCCTGTAAGAGCTTTAAGAAGGGCTTCTACCCCTTAACTGTCTCTTGAGTCCCTAAAGCTCATTGTTTATCTTGTCCTAGGGTCATCTTATTTTGAGATTGGTAAGAATCTGCTGTATTTGTGTCCATGGTGTTGTTCTTGGGCCCATGTGCTGTGCAGGTGCATGTGTGCCGTAGAGCACAAGAGGTTGTCTTCCACCCTGTTTGAGATGGTCTTTTTTTTTTTTTTATCATCCTGCTAACAGCTGACTTCCCAGCTTCTAGGGATTGTCCTTTCTCTGCTTCTGATGTGTCCTAGGTGTGCTGGGACTACAGATGCACTGGACTATCTGTTACTGTTTTGGGCTGCTGGGAGCATTAAAGTCAGGTCTTCATGCTTGTATGACAAACACTGTTCCACTGAGCCATCTCCACAGCCCATGTATTTGTGTGTGTATCATGTATGTGGATACATATGGGACTTGTATGTGGGTGAATGGAAGTCAAAACATGTTTGTTTTCCTCATTCTCCAACTTTTTTGAGATGAGATCTTTTGAACCTGGGACTCACTGACTAGATTATATACTCAGCAAGCATCCCAGATTACAGGTGTGCACTGCCACTTCTGGCATTTGCTTCATCAGGGAACTCACTGAGCCATATCTGTAGCCCCTCTTACTTTTCAAACAATGAAATAGTTCCTTTTATATTGAATTTCGCCTATGAGTGTACTTAGCAAGCCTGACCCTTGCTTTGGAGATCTCACATATGTTTTTAATGTTTAGGCACGTTCAGGGTGCTAGACAACAGAAACCATTTCTGACTTTAATGAAAACAGTCTTTAAGTGAAGGATGACCTTTCTGGTTTCTGGGACAATCCCCCTTTATTGTATTCGTACTTTAGTGCAATATCGTGTTACTCAAACAGCACAAATGGATGTCAATCACCTCTTAGTGAAGTTGAGCTTATGGTGTGGAACTGAGACTTTTAGTTAGCTTCAAAATGAGATATTTTGCTGCCTACCTAATTTCAGTGAAGTATACTAAATGCCTTTCCTTCAAAGTTTAATTGGCTCCAGAACCTCAGATGACCCTTTTAAAACAGATGTAGAAAGGCACTGTAGTTAGGTATGTTTATGAGGAGGATTTGGCACAGTAAAAAGGCCATGGGTTTTGAAGAATGAGCCCTGTTGCTTGTTGTATTATTCATTTTTGTAATGGAATCTAAGCTTGAAAACAATAACTGAATTCTTTACTATAGTTTCTATACTTGGTTCTTCCCTTTAACACCCTTTAGTATTTAAAGTTATGTGATGTCTTCAAATGTGCTCCCAATACAAAGCAGTTCCTTCACACTGATAGAGCTACATAGGCTGTAAACACATGAGGTGAGATTTATCTTTCTGGAGGCTTGTGTTCTCACTGTTGTGTGAAGGGGGTGAGCAGAGCAGTAAAGAAACAAGTTTCTGTGTTCCCTCCCAACAACAATGCGTGGTACAGCTCTAGAAACACTAGAGCAGTTTCCGAGGGTAAAGCTTAAGGAGACAGTGTCACCAACATGACGTGCTTTGTTAAATGAGTGCCTCAGGAAGCTAGATTGTAATGGTATTAAACACGCACACCACATCGTATTACAGTTAATTTAAGAAACCTTGAAATGCCTGCCCTGTTAGTAAACTACTGATTGTAACTGGGTAAACTGACTGACTCTTCTTTCTGTTTTACAGGCTTTCCTCGGAGACAGGTGGCATGGGGAGCAGCTAGAACAGTGCAGATTCACCCATAATCCCTTTCTGCTGTTCACCACCACCCATGATCCATCTGTGTAGTTTCTGAACAGTCAGCGATTCCAGGTTTTAAATAGTTTGTAAATTTTCAGTTTCTACACACTTTATCATCCACTCATGATTTTTTAATTAAAAGCGTTTTAATTCTTTCTCTGTTCAGCAGTTACGCTGAGATATCCATATTTAGTTTTATAAGCTCCCCCCTTTTCCTTTTTTTTGGGGTTTTTTTGGCTCATGAATTTTTGTTTGTCATGAAAATGTAAGAGTGGAATATTAATACATTTCAGTTTAGTTCTGTAATGTCAGGAATTTTTCAAAAAAAAATTAAAAGATGGACTGGAGCTTTTTCTTTGTGAATAGAAACTGGATGCCACAGTGACTTATGTGGGTGTTATTCCTGTCTTGATGTTATTTTTATACCTTTAAACCTTCACAGAGCCCTGGCTGGGTTTGAATAGAATTAAGATTTTCTTCTGTTTTACCACTCCATGTTTTGTTTTTGTTGTTGTTTTGTTTAATTGTCCTTGGTCTTTCCCTGCCATAATTTTGCGTGGCCTTTAGAAGATTTGTTCATGAGGAATGGATGGCAATTACAAAATACATTCACCCTAGAATTGTAGAGCAACAAGTGTGTCTATGCAGCTCGGCCAGGAAGATGTATGTGTGTGTATACATATATGTGTATGTATACATATATGTGTATGTATATACACACACACATACAAAGCACGCACATATACATACAGATGTGTATATGGTTGGCAGTAAGCTTGGGAGTGACTGCCCCTTATTCTTAATCTAACTGGCCTTCTTTAACCCATTTATATTCTCGTCCTGAAATAATTTAGAAAAGTTAACTTAGAATGTTGAAGTTTGACATGTTAGAAAAAGTAGTAAGTAATTTGTCCAGATTCATCAGACAAATTCTTAAATCCAAGATTGTTAACTATGTATTGCATTCATTCACCAAGAAAACCCTCGACAGCTGGGCCTGCATGGAGTGGTTATATTTCAGGGTTGTTCACAGGGTTACAATAAGACAGTCCCCACCCCTGCCAGGCACCAGGATGATAGTAGGACTTTAACAGCACCCCAGCTGTCCAGCCTGAGCCGTCACATGCTATCGGTCTTCTAACTGCCTCTGGGCCCTAAGCCAGGGCTTGGGCAGAGAAACAGGGACAAAGAAATGGGTTACATTGCCACCTGAGAAACCTCAGAGGGGAGG